AGGAGAGGTGGGGGGGGGGGGTAGCGAACCAAAGGTTGATTTAGAGATATAAAAGAGACCGACATAAAGGCAGATAAAAGGGTAAGGTGAATACTGTGGACGTGGCGGAATATGACATAGAGTTGGGTCATGGTAATTTGAAGTCAGAAGCCAACTGCCGGTATGCGTTGTCAAGAGAATTAGTCCAAAGTTGTATTGAGAATAAGAATTTGATGGTAGGGGGCATAGCGTTCACATCCAAGTTCTTTTAGGGAAGAGCTGTGCTGGACTACGATCATCGTTTCGACATTTGGCTTCATTATATATTATTTTAAATTGAAATATTTGTTTCTAAATATCTTATTCATGGAAATCTTTCCTTTTTAATACGTCGATCAGCCATGCATTTGGAGTGGGTATCTGAAAATGTTTGCACACAGTTTCGTGTACTGCTCGAAATTCCGTTAAATAAAATATGGCCTTGAGTTTAGTACAAACTTAAACTACTCCTTGAATTGCTGAGTGCATATTCTGCTATAGTTGAAAGTACTTTATAAGCGTATGCCCTCTTGTAGTTCTAAATTTGAAGGTCGCTTTACTGAGGTCACCTAGAAATGTCAAATTCAATGTAATGCTTGCATTCAATTGTAAATGAATGCCTAACTAAGCTATGCAACGTTAACTGACCTAGGTTGTGTCGAGGGGGTGGCCTAAAGACACAAAGAAAGTGGTGTAAATCAGGTGATTGAAAAGGTGAATTTGATAATTTGGTCGGAAAAAAGAATTTTTTAATTATTGATTCTGTGGAAGCCGCTTCATATTTTCCCCAAAATTAAGGCAAAAACTGCAAAAGGCACTCATCAAAGTTATGCTTCATCGAGTATTTTGGTAAGATTTGATAAACGATATCTAATGGACAAAAATACTGAAGGGTCACAAAGCAGACACGAATCGTGGCCACATTCGTGATTTGGACAAATTTATTTGTACTCATAATGGACTTTCTTGATATCACTTTAAGTAAGTTGACAAAAAAACTTCCTTTTAAATTTTAATTATAATCAATATGTTCTGACCACTCTCACCAGTCGTAGCTACTGACCAGTTGAGTAAATGCGCAAGAAAATTTTATACGGGAAAATGAATGAGAAAATTCGAAATTTGTACATACAGCCATGATTTTGGGAACACAAACAGCCTTCAAGCTTTAGTGGTTTTGACCTCAAAATGCACAAAAACCACAAAGTCTTCTACTCCACTGGCCAACAAACAAAGACTTCAAAACTGGAAACCTCTCCAAATCTACTTTACGTAGCCTTCACACTTTTTTCCACTTCTCACTCATTCCACCACAATTATCTTTTGCACAAATAGTGATCTGGGAAATCTTTCATTTCGTGGAAGACGGGCTCAGAAGGGAAAGGGGTTTCGTTCGTGAAAAGATCTTATCCAAGGCTCAAGTTGTTAAATAGAGCCTACCGCCTCCGAGTTCCATTCGATATCATCTCTCTTTAGTCACAATTGTTAAACATTTCACTCTTTATGGGAATAATTTTAATTTAAAGACGATAAGATCACCGATGCTGCCAAATTTAGCAGAAGTTAAAGGCAAAATTTTCCATGAAATGAGAACGATTGGCATGCTGCCTGCCTCTGTTTAGGGAGTTTATTTACCATAATGTAGGCAACCAGTACACGCGAGTATTGTAAGCAGTCTAGCTTTATTATTACTAATTAAGTCCTCATATAGATTAAAGGTGAATACACAGTTCATGTAAAATTTAACCCAAGAAATACAGGTTCCTCCAACTTACCTGCAACTAGTAAAAAATCCAAGGCTTTTTCAAGTAATTGAAAGAATTTTTTTCAAATCAATGATTTTATATTACTGTAATTATATATCAGTGGTAATGTGCAGCATTAGAGTCTTCTTAAAATACTAAAAAGCAAACATTGGTCATATCTATACCGCGAAGCAAGCAAGAAGTGAGAAGAGAAGGAGTGTGTGGGGGGGGGAGAGAGGAGGGGAGACACGAGTTTTCCCAAACTTTGAGTGGAATGTTTCGGTTGAGCAAAAAGTAACTGGAAGAACAGATATGAATTTGAAGTGGGGGAGGGGGGGGGGGTAAAGGAAAAAAAGGATTGAATAGTTCATTGAGTCCGTTTATAAATAAGTTGGAAGGGACACATCGGGTTTGAATTAATTGGACTTTGAAGTAATTTGCCTATAAAGGGGTTCGGCCACTTGCGGGAGACGTAAGGTCAGTATCAGATTGGATACCAGTGGATCCGTTTACAACAACGGACTCACTGTCCAGTTGGGTTGTGAAGTTGATAGCTTTGTTAAGATCCTAAAAGAAACCAAGCGCACCACATTGGTTAACAAAAAGTAACATATTACTAATATTAAATCAATAGTCATTCTTGCCTCTTCGTCGTTAGTGTTATTATTATTGGTGGGCTCCTGTTCAGCGTTACGAACCTGCAAAAACAAGCAAACAAACAGTAAAATTTAAAAAAATAAAAAAGTAGATATAGTATTTAAATTAAGCGCAGAAAAAAACAAATATAATTACAGTACAGTTCAATTAACGGGAGAATATGGGGATCGATAGGGTTATGGTTAAGGAATTACCGTGGTCTCATATCGTTCCACAGACTCCTTGTGGACGGTGGTGACGATTCTGCGTTGTTTTTTAATAATCTTCTTCACTCGTTGACCTTCGGCATTTGTGTAGTACTCCACAGTTATTTCCGGGTTACTCTCCTCTGTCTATAATTCAAGATAAATTTAGTGTCAATATGCGATCTAAAGGTAGCAACTTATTTCCTGGTACTTGTTAAGTGGATATAAGAGGCACTGTTTAGATTTAAAACCTTTTACTATTTTTTTATAAATTAAGATCCATTTAGGCAAGAGTTTGCTCATATTCGTCCTGGGTTGAGGAGCGGTTTAAAGAAGCCAACTGATGAGAAAACGAAATTTCGCCACTTCTTTCACAAACCAGGCTCATTTAATGACGTTAGCCATTCCACTGGTTGAATATGCACCGCTAGGGATCGAACCCACGTCCTCGGACCTATCAGCCGAACGCGTCAACCACTTTATCATCAGCCCAACTTGGATTCGACAAACTTAACTGAAACCTACTTTAATGGTAAAATACACAAGCCTGTGGAGTGCACAACGTTTCCAAGGTTGGTCATACAAATCGCATGCGAACTAGACCATTCTGGAAATTGTGGTGGAGCCACTTTATGGCATAGTGATCAGGGCTAGAGGTGCTTCTAAAGACCTCTCAACAATTGTTGTAATACAGAGTAGAACTTAATACCGTCAATGAACATATCCTGTGTCTGGCCGTCATATACTATTTTTTCTGCACTTTCTGTGTTCTCGTTACTTTTGACACACCTTAGTGAATCTTGAATGTGATTTTATATCAGAGGATTTTGTCACAGACTAGCTATACTGACTTGCGTTTGTTAAACCTTCTAGGGGTTTAAGTAACGTTGAATCTAAGGCTCATTTGTCAGATAACCGCTAAGAGTTTCAATGAGTCGCTCTCTAGCTTAAGACGCAAAGCCCATTAGATACAAAAGAGCAGCGAAAATGATTTTATTCGAAATAAAATAGTCTGAAGAAACATTTCTACTTGAACTTGGCATAAGTGTTCCATGGTTCATCTTTATACTGAGTGATAATCAGTACAAAGTCCATTTATCCGTCCACATTTTAAAAATTGAATAAATGGAGTTTTACAATGTTGCTTTTGTATGTGATTTAGCGGAGAGATAAACAAAATGTATTAGTAATATTGGTAATAATCCAATTTCAATCAAAGTGCATTTTACAAAGTTGTTGACACTAGCTGATTAAATTGTACACATTAACATGTCCAGCCATAGTTATTTCTGCCTACGCATTTACCAGATTTGAAAACTAAATTAATAATTTAAAAAAGCAAAAAAAAACAAAAAAATAGGAACACGGCTAGTTTGGTTCGGTTGGAAAATCAAATGTATCCTATTGCTTCTATTAAAAAAAAGTAGGGAACATTTTTCTTTACAAACAGAGTTATAATCTTTAGGATGTGGGGTGTGCGATAGACTTACCTCCACGTGGTGCACCTTGGGCAACGTTTACTCATGCAGCAAAAAAGTCTATTAATCGGCAGTTGACTTCTCACTTCAAACAACCATCACCCCCACTGTATGTCATATTCGACCCCTACCACTACTCATCTTACCCTTTCCGAGCCTTTGTGTCTGTTTCTTTTACATCTTTGAACCACTCTTCTATTCCCCCTCCCGAATTCTTCTCAACTTAAGGGCTAATGATAACTATCAAAGCGCCTGCCATTTGTTAAAAATAAATAAATAATCTTTAGGATGAAACAATGGTATAGAAAATCACACTTTGCATAGCTGTTATACTGTGGACTTCACGAAGAACAGATTTCTATATTTCTAAAAGAAGAGTTAAAATAACGCTAAAGACTGCCTTAATTAATTAATTCTTTAATTAGGAAGAAGTCAAATAGATAAAGATCTTGGACACTTTCTGACATACCACTCTTTGAGTATCTGTTCGATTAGTTGAATGCGGGGTGGGGCTTCCACGGCTCTTCTCCTGCTCATCTCGAGTGTCAATTACAGTATCCTCATCCTCGCTACTATATTTCCCACCAACACCACTCGTGTCTCCGGTGTTTCGAGTATCCTCGGAGGGCGTGGAATCTGGGGGTTGAGTGAATTGGAACTGACTGCTGTTTGGCGATACTGTGATAGTTACATCTGGACGAAGTATATCACTCTCCACGCGTTCTGTTGTTGCCTTTATGGAGGAGAAAATACAATAACCTCCTATTTTATATTCTGAAATAGGGTGGGGACTTTTTCTCCCAATACAGCTAATTAATGAATAATATAAGTTTGTATAAGAACTTGCTTATTTCCAGAAATGTATAAGTTAATTAAATAAAATGTTTATTTTATTAAATAACTCCTTATTTGGTAGGAACTTTGACTCATTTTTTGTTTAAACTATTAAAAATAGCAATTTACGACTTTGGGGAATTTGTAATTTAGGCTTAATTAACCACGGTAGATTAGTAGAGAAGGAAATGCACAAGAATAATGTACGAAAAAACAATGCCACTAAGGCGTTTGTTAATACAAGCGATTCGGCCTAATCGGACAACCTTTGAGCTAATTTTAATTAACAACAGCACACAGCATTATTGAGTGCAATAAGTGAACCGGTGATTGAAAATTTACGAGTTGTATTATTGCGTATTAGTCTTGGTTGAATTCTTTGTCTACACACGAAAACATCTTTGGCACATAGTATGGTACAAGCATATTGATTACCACAACCCCGTGGATAATAGTTAGCCAATCATCGCCATTCTCATTTAAACCAAAAAAGTACAAACGAATTCAAGTAGAAACCACACTTTCACGATACCTATTTGTCAAAGTTAATTAATCAGTCATGCTGGTAATGAGCTAAGATACGTTGTTCTACTATTTGTAAAATAAACAAGATTTATTTGACGAAAAAACAATGAGTGTAATGGTGCTTAAAGAGCCTCGAAGGTGGTAAACAGAAAAATTTAAGTAATACATCGCAGCAGTATGCACGAAGTTTAGTAAGTTAATTTGACTTAAGAGTTAGAAATTTTGGGTTTATTGTTGGTCAATTGTCAATGGCTACATTCGTTTAAGACAGTCTTAAATTCTAAATTAACCCAATAACATTTATACAGGCTTCAAACAGTGCTTAGATATTATGGTCTAGTCGAATTTTCAATTTATTTGGATTGAAGTAATTTCATTAAGTTACAAAACTTACAATCAAAACGTCAAACATATGTTACAAGCATAGAGGATTGAAATCTCATTAGTTTAAGAATATTGGTTCAAACTCAAATCAATTAACCAGTCAACAAACTCACTTTAATACCTGAAATTTGAAAGTTGGTAGATAGTGAAGCGAGAATGAGTACTGCACTCATTGGAATCTTAGTGGTTGGATTCCCTATAGCCGCCTAACTCCACATTTCCCCCCAATTTAATTGTTTAAGCTTCCAAAAGTTTATAAATTGGCAATTAAAATTTTATCTCATCTAACCACTTATTCCACAATGTTGTCTAGTGTTTACCTAAGAGGGCGTTTAAACTTTCACAGATTTTTTTGGGCATTCACTCGGTCGCGACGTCAGTGAGCGCTGTGAATAGTTTCTTTTATTTGTGGAAGTGGGCAGTTAAATAGTCAGCAGTAGGTCCCATACACAGTTCTGTGACAAAATTCTAATCAATTATATATTATTACAATCATATATTAAATTAAAACCCTTTAGGACCATAAAAGGAAAAGCAAAATATGAAACTTGTTTAATTGTTATTACATAAATTATAAATAGTGATAAAGTTGGGATTTTACGTTTCACCAACCAAACCACTGAAAAATTGTCAGGTGTATATTTCGCCATCGCTGATGAATTGGTGACCAATCAGAAGTTGACGCATTTGCGCTACTCAATTATTATTTTTTACAAGACAGAAAAGCCAATCAAAAGGGGCGATTTGCATAATCATTAAAATAGCAAGCAGTCTATCGTCACCGATCTATCATACATGAAAGATATTCAGTTTGGGATTCAGTAATACCTTTTTGCGTAGTACTTCCCTGCATAGTGGACCCATTACTATAAAGACAATTGGGATTTTCAAGAAAAATAAAACCCCAAACAAACATTCCTCATTAACTTTTATTTGGCAAATCTTCGACTAGCCAACGAGAATCTATGTGCTCAATCGTCACAATCTTTGTGAAAAGGCTAATATTCTAATCGTTGACCTCCAAAGAACAGGTTTACGGCACTTGAATTACATGTGTTAGGAGCTCTGAAACCATATCTTATTGTATCGAAGCGAAATCCATACACTTGCTATTAGTTTTAGAAGTGGAGGACACAAGTTAACCGGTGTTTAAAAATATTGGGGTAGGTGGAGGAAGGGGGGCACGGAAGGGCGAGTGTAAGAGTGAGAATGTATTACAGATAAGGTTCAGATGCATAAGGTGGTATGATTATTTTAGTCTGTGAAAGCATCACGAAACTCTCCGTCCGGTCCGTCGACACCTTTGAAATAAACAAAGAGATTAGACTGAATAATCGATAAATCTAAGGCGCGCACACACATATATGCATACTTCACCAAATAACACAGCAAAGTAAAAAAAATGACGCTTTGTGTAATCCTATTTGGGCACATCTGTGATGTGCTTGCCTTCTGAATAAAGCAAAAATCAAATAACAATGAAATAAAATCACAAATTAGTCAAATTAGTTGCTATCATGTGAATTCACCGTTAGATTTCAGTTCAAAACGTCATGTTTCGCATCATCAGTTCAGACTAATCATTTGGATAGGCGAATGTGGAAAACTTCTGAATAAGCGACTTCAAATGTTAATTACAAACGTTAAAACTATAAATCTCGATGCAAAATCATACAATTCAATTCAGACAGGCATAATGGTGATTTCCTTTGAGCATGGGCAAGAAAAATTCATTTTCAACTTGTCTTATCTTTTCTGACCATATTCTAATTTAATTTGGTTACAGGAAGCAAATTAATCAACACCTCATGATCCAAAATCAATTTTTGGCTATATCTAACAATTAGCCCAAAGAATAGGCGTAAGGAACCCTAACCCAGGTACCATTGAGATAAACATCAAAATTGGAACTTCAGAACCCCAGGACACGGAGAAGTGAACAACTTGAGGAAACTTCTGAACCCTCTCAATGCCCTCCTCCACACGCCATGGAGCCACTTTGATAATGCCCAAGAGATTTTGTTGTTTGGTATTGGATTGGGGAAAATAAAGATGTCTCGTAGGTATTAAAGACATGCCAATCACACAAAATCGAATAATTTTTTTCGGCAAAGTTGCCAATATAAAGCACTCTCAGTCCAGTTCTAAATTAAGCTAATTGAAAATCAAGATAACAAGAGGAAGATGACGACAAAAATTGAAGTTCTCGTAAGAAAGAAGAAAATAAAGACCATCACTGACTTGGATATCTTAAAAAGTTAAAATTAAGGATCAACGAAATGCAGATTACAACTGGAACTTAAGTTAAACACAGAGTGAGTCGTGGGAAGAGCAAATTGAAAAGTGGCGAAAATTGACAAAAATATCTCGAGTGCGTTTGTAGAAGCACAGAGGGCTAACGGCGAAATAAAATTTATCGGGGGTGGGTTGGGGGGTGGGGTGGGGTGGGGNNNNGGGTGGGGGGGGGGGGGGGGGGGGGGGGGGGGGGAGGTGGTGGTTAATATTTCACTATTCATAGGCTTTGTCAATACCTTCACATCGGAAGTAACATTTGTATTTAGAAAAAAAATTGACTGCTTAAGTGTGTATCTTGTTTAAATACACCTCAATGTGCGTGAACACACAGTTCAACGAAATTAAATAAATTGTGTGTTAAACCAACCAGAAAAGACATCGCATCAAAGTCTTCACCAGGCGCGACTTCCTTCATCCGCGTGGATAAAATCACGCTATCTCGACGGTCCGTTCCAAGTGGACAAGGGGAGAGGAACGAAGCCATGCAGACACAATTTATATTATTATTAGTATTATTATTATTTTCAAGTGGGAAGTACAAATGATTCGTGGGCACCCATATCATTACCTCTGGCGCAAACGGAATACTATCATTGCGCACAGTGGAAGCCTATTTCAATGCAGAAAGAGATGAAATAGTAAAATAAGAAAATTTGTGTCCCATAGTAGTTCAATGTGAGTGGTTTACACGTAACAAACAAAGCGAAAATTAGTTGCATAAGAAATTATTTCCTGGTAGAATGGCTTAAGAAACACCACAGTTGTAAAGTGAGGTTAAATCCACAAACTGTTCCTTATCTTGATTATCATATTTCGATCTTAACAGCGAAGAATTGTGATAAATATTTGTCAAGTGAAAAAACTTAACTTCGAAACTGCATCAAATTACCTCCACTGAAAACGAATTTATTCAAAAAAAAGATACAAAAATACGGAAAGTTAAACTTGTAATATTTCTAATTCAATTAATCAACACGTGTTCAAGAGTCTAATAGAAGGATTGTCTTCAGGCGATAAAAGTGAAAGGAGGACGCAAAAAACTAAGAAGTCGACCGAAACTCCATGATTGGTTAAACTGAGCTTCTTGGGTGATTTAACTTGTGATTGGTGGTTTGATAAAAAGTGCAGCACTCAATAGACAATCAAACCAGCAGTCATTCAAATCAATAAGTTCTTACCCAATAGCTATAAATGAGCAGGACATGCAAACGGCTAATGCAACAACAAAGTGGCATCCTTTTATTTCCAAATTACCAATTTCAGTGTTGGTAATCATGCAGTTCTCTTTTCATGCTACTGAAAATATTTAAGTAAGAAAACTATGAACGACAGATGGCAATATTAGTACGTTGATGTTTTATTTGTTAACATAATTAGCATACAGCATTCATCAACAAACAAAGTGGTGAAGACGTGTATGTTATAGTTCACAAATGGGAAAAAAGCATACTCAAAACCGGTCACAAAATAGACACGTTAAGAAAAGGTATTATATATTAATCATCAAAGTCAAAACCATATCCACTGTTATCAGAATCGGATTGGCTATCCGCTGAGCGTCGCTTGGTGAAAAATAAATCACCTTTTGCGACAGAATGCTAGCACAAGAAAATATAAATAATCACACCTACTAACGACTTTTAAGTAGCATGATTTCTAAAGAGTGCACTTACATGAGGCTGACGGAGCTTGTTGATATCAAACGGCCACTTCGGTGAATCTTTCACACATTCATCGGCTGCTGCAAAGAGAGGATACCACTCCTCCTAAAGCCAATTGATTGAAATTTAAAATTAGTCATAACAAATTGAAAGAATAAATTAATTATTGTCACTTAGCATACCGCGGGCTGGTATTTAAATGGTCTATCCCCATAATTGACTTCCAGGGTTGTGCAGTATAGGGATGCAGAGGGGAAGAAGATGGTTTTTTCATGCGAAATGAAGGACGAATCCATGTGATAAGCTGGGGGCAACATTTCTCCATTCACTGACCACTGGATCGTACCGTTATCAAGGTCCAGAAAACATCCCACAACATCTCCAACTTTGATTCTCTGAATATTTATATGAGAAAACGATTAAATCACCATTCACTAATATTAAAACTCGAAATGTTTGAAGTGTAATTAACCCTTTAACGCCCTTTCAAAATAAGTTCCATTGGTACTAGACTCGTAGCTGAAAGCGAACTTTTGCCGTTTGAACCATGTTCAATACGTGTCTATAGCCTTCGTCTGATACTCCACCAAAACTCATCATGTCGGCGACATCAGTCTGCTCCGAGACACGCGTGAGTTCTGTTGAGTGCATTTTTTTAAAAAATAATTCTTGCGTTAAAGGGTTAATGTTGTTTGGCTAAATTATGTAAAATAAGTAATGAATAATCAAAATTTCAAGCGTTGAGATTGTTTGAATCGGTGACGTGTTTTTTTTCTAATGGCGTTTGATACTATATTTTCCTTCACTAAACCGATTTGGCTCCTCTAATTTGTGAGAAATTTTTTAATTTTAAGCATTATTGTACATTAATTAAGAAGTAGATCGGAAAATTCTCATAGAAGGTCCCTACCAAAGTACTGGGAGGTCAGTGGAGTGCGTATTTACCACAATATTCCTATTTTCCACTTTAAATTAAGTTAAGAAACCAAATAAAAACAACAAAGACAAAAATGGACCCAATTATGAAAACACTGGATCAGTTTACTATGGCTAACTAAGCTGTAGTCGTGGCAACCGACACGCACATCTGATAAATGATAACAGCAGCTCAAAGGTGAGTCATTTAATAAATATGTGAGTCAACAAAAGACCACACAGACAACATGTCTTAGAGGCACAACACAGGTACTGAAGAGGTGAAATCACATTCAATAGAATAGCACAGCCGATGCTTGATGATTTCAGCGAACTTCAGTTTTATATGTTTCAAAATCCGCAGCGTTTGCTGATGCTTAATGTTGAGGTTATAAAACAAATCCTCAAAAGAGCAGAAATCTGAATATTTATCAGAATTTCGCACAGTCAGATTTATGAACTACGGATAGCATTAATTAAAAGCATTAATCGTACAGCTGTTGTAATAAGATTTAAAATAGAATGTTTTCCACTAATTATTTTTGCAATATAAACAAGAACAATTAAAAATCGTTCTTCTTCAACCTCTGAACTTTGTCTTCCGAAACGCCAGACCGATTATAAATTAGAATTAAATTAAAGCTTCACAAATAACAGAAAAAATACATGCCCTACCTGATATCGTAAATGTTTTGCTATTAAAACCATCACATTAATTTAATTCTGGTTCAGCAGTCTCTTGAGGCATCGAAATTTCAGAAAATGTACTTGGGCAGTATGAGTGAGTACAATCATGTTGTGCAAATAACTTATCAAAAGTTATTTGTGAAATATAAAGAAAAACCTTGCTAATTAGACAGGTTATGGTGACAGCAAGACGTTTTTCAAATCATTATCTGGTCATTAATAGCATTGAAATACTTTTAGGCTAAACATTGCACAACTTAATGACATCGATTAATCATCTTCAAATGACCTTGCAATTACCCATTTGTAAAGGAAAAGAATAAAACACCTCATATAGTTTACTTCTAAGCCGTTATACAAATTTTAACTTCCTTCGGATGCAGATGAATACAGGTAACAGGGGTTAGTGAAAAGCACGTTGGAAGAAAGATCTTGCACTTCTCAAAGTTTAAGAGTGGAGTGTGCGATAGACCTATCTCCACGTGGGGCACCCTTGGGTAACGTATTCTCATACGGCAAAAAAGGTCTGTTAACAGGCAGTTGACTTCTCACTTCAAACTACCATGACCTGACTCCATGTCATATTCGACCATTTCCACAGTACTCACCTCACCTTTTTTCTACCTTTGTGTCTGTCTCTTTTACATTTTTGAAACACTCTTCTCTTCCCTCCCCCCCCCCCTCTCGACTTTTTTTCCCTTCGATGTTCCTTCCCCTCTGTGAAGCCTGAAGTCAACTAAAGGGCCAACGATAACTATCAAAACGCCTGTCAATTGACATAAATAAATAAAGTTTAAGAGTCCATCCTAATGAAAATGTAATTGATATAGTTGGTTCATTTTAGGTTAAGGCGATGCTCAAAATGAAAAGACAGAAAATTTAAATTTATTTAATCTGGGAATCAATACTAAAAGGCTTTGCTTTATAACTGAAACATTGAGAAATGAGGTTGAAAAGTTATTAGAGGCAGAAATTTCGCGTTGATTTGAAGGATCAATAAGAAACGTGTGACATCGATGCTGTTCAGAGTCCTGCCTCTATTTACTGCGTCAACAATAATTCCAGGCTAGTATCAGTTGAATAGACTCAAAGCAAATTTATTGAGAATGGATGACTAACCAAGGAGTCAACACTCGGTAACTTAAGAGAGAGAGATATTCTGAAATTTTCACCTTCAAGCATTTGCACATGCCAAAATGAATTGGATCGTGTTGTTGTTCCGCCTTCATGCCATCTTATGAAAAATCCCTCCCCCCCAATCACTTCACAATGGATTGCATTTCTACGCCCCGTGTTGAAAAAATAAGAAAAAAATACAAGTGGGTAATAAATAGCACCCAGGCTCACCGAAGTAAGCATTTACCCAACAACATGAGCTTCTCTGGTGGGAAAGCTAAATTCCTTCAGTTTAATGATGTGGATATTCTGTTTAGCAGCGAGATTCAGTAATCGTGTGTAATGAGACCAAGTAACTGAAGTATTAAAGCATAATAATAATATTAGGAAGCCTAAAAGGCGGCTCAAACTTACCACACCATAATCTTCAGCAACTCCGTTGAACACTTTCTTCGCTGAACTTCCGTCGGGACCACAACCATATCCGTAGCCAAGGTTATCAACTCCGAGTTGGAGATTTGCTGTGGGAAGGGACCAACCAACCCGAGCATATCCACAATCCTCCACTATTTCCACTTCATAGTAATATTTGCCCACTTCGAAAACTCCCTAAAGAAACCAAATTAGAGAGGCTATGTGAAATATAGTCAAACTCTTTGGTGAAACTACCATCAAGTGCCTAAAAAATCTATTTTCAATGACAATAAATTATTATAATAACTAACTAACGATCCTTCTCGATGACTACATGTGTATCATAGAGCTCACACTGTGAATGCTCTTACTATACCTGGATATTATACGAGTTCGGCATTATAAGAAGAAATGAAAGGTATGGAATCCTGTTATTTACGAGGCGGGGTATGTAATAATGCCCATAACTTGCCTTATTGGCTCGGAAGCCTTGCCATTCGTTGTCAGTGGCCTGAACCATGCGACCATCTTCGGAGACAATGAGGTTGAGAGAGGAAGTGGTATCGAACTGATTGACACGCCAGCCTGAGTTGACATTCTGGACAATTTTCTCGACAGGGACATTAATTGGCGATGTCCATTGTACTCGGCCTCCTGAAATTTGTTCGGGTGGGTGAACGAAAGGTTTATCTCCAAAATTTAACGAAATTCTTGCGTCACGAAGAGAGATAGCTGCAATAGAGGAAAGAAATAGACCAATTATGTAAGAATCTCTAAACAAATAAAGGTTTCTTAAACAAATATATATATTATCTCTTAACATATAAGTTACAAATATATTGACCAAATACGAGGTTAATTATGATTAAAAATATGAAATTAGTAGCAAACAACTATTCTTAATGGGTTATGAACACCACTGCATAAAATTTTTATAATTTTTTATCATTTGAATATGACCACAAGAAACTAAATAAGTCAGATGAATATTTATATCAAATGGCAGGCGCTTTGATAGTTATCACCAGCCCATTGGCTGACTTCGGGCTTCACAGAGGGGTGGAATATCAAAGTGAGAAAAATTCGAAAGGGGAAACAGAAGAGTGATTCACAGATTTAAAAGCGACAGACAGACATAAAGGCAGAGAAAAGGCAAGATGAGTACTGGGAAAGGGGTCGAATCTGACATACAGTGGGGTCATGGTAGTTTGAAGTTGGTAGTCAACTGCTGGTTAATAAACTTTTTTGCATTAGTTAATTTTCTGATACAACATTGTAGACAATGTAAACGTTTTATAGGTGTGTTAACTTCGTCTTTCAAGGCAACTTTGATTTTACTAAAAATGATAATGATCATAAGTTTGTTTAACTGATTGAATGAAAATTCAATGATCAAATAGACTCATTTTACATACTTCTGAAAGTCAGAAAAGCATATTTGGAAATTGCTAATTGAAAATTGGAATAAATGAAAGAACAGAATGTCTAATTAAATTAAATATGGAGCATGAGATTTTAAAATGAACAGGGAGATCTTCAACGAATTTTGATAAATTTGGCGCTCTAAAATCAGAATTTTCTGATTCGCCCACTTCGTCTCTTGTCAATAAATGTAGAAAAATGGTAGTATGAGGATCATACTGCGTAACCAATTAAAAAATAGAAATTTGGAGCGATATTCAACCAATGTACTTCTGAAGGACATTAATTGCCATCAGGTGAAAATGGCACGAGAATTCACCATTAATACAACAGAAAAAAGCGTATTCAAAGTACTAATAGCACTATTTATAACTTTTTTATTGGTAAAAACATTTTGACTGGAAATAAGAGAATAAAGATCATTTATAACTATTAGTTAATATAAAAATAATAGTAATAATGGAAATAATGGGGCTAAAATTATATTTCGACTTAGAATTTTTTTAGGAATTTTGAATTTCAGAAATAGCGAGGTGATTGAGTCTCAACGCTAGCCCATAAATCATCAAAACTATCTACCTTTATATCATGTATACGCCCCAAGGTATCATTAAAGTAACTTTTATCTTGAGGAGTGCGGGGTGTGGGATAGACTTACCTCCTCGTGGTGCACCCTGGGCAACGTATATTCATACGGCAAAAAAGTCTATTTACCGACAGTTGACTTCTCACTTCAAACTATCATCACCCCACTGTATGTCATATTTGACTCCTACCACAGCACTCATCTTACCCTTTCTGAGCCTTGGTGTCTGTCTGTTTCTTTTACATCTGTGAATTACTCTTCTGTTCTCCCTCCCGAATTCTTCTCATTTTGCTGTTCCTCCTCCCCTCTGTGAAGCCCGAAGTCAACTAAATGTCTAATGATAACTATCAAAACGTCTGCCATTTGTTATAAATAAATAAATCTTGAGGAGTGCACGAGACTTTCATGGCTGAACAAAGAAATCTCACGAGCATTCAGACAGACTCGAAGGCGTGTGCGTGAGCACAGTGACCTCACAATCAGCAACCACTCACTAGTCCTTACACTGTTTAACGAACCCTTTATTATATTGTAATGATTAAGCTCCCTGTCTGCAACACACATCCCAAACTAAATCCATCCCACGCTATACATCTGCTTCCCCCATAACTCAGCAGTAGATTAGCTATTCCAGGGGGACTTTCCAGACTGGGAGATTTGGCTATAGAGGCTACCGATCATAAGGCAAGGCTCATTAGCGTAAAAATCCGCTACAATCTCCTTGAGTGAGCCACAAGTTACGCCCTTTCTGGTTACTTCAAATTTGGACTTATCCATTCTTAGCTATATCAAAACTTAAATCAGGAAAAATTTTGTCACATCTGCCATTTGAAGAGAGGAGCCAAGTGAGGGGGGAGAGAGAGAGACAAAACCGAAACACCTTGATTTGATCAAAGCCTTCAATAAACATTGAACTTTCCTATTGTAATACAGGCAACGAAGAATTAAATTTGAATATTATAAGGTTAACTTTTCATTGGGTAAATATTGTACAAGCCAAACGTAAAGATATAATGAACGGACACTTAGTGTTCTCTATAGCCTTTGATCTCCTGACCTTTATCTTTCTGTTGGTTTACTTTTAATTCGTTTTCAACCTCCTCACGTAGTTAACACTTGTCAAATGCCCAATAATGCGAGTTTGTTTATGGCAAGTGTGTGTGTGTGATTAATTCTCCCTTAGGGTTTGCACTATTCTAACACCGATTTCAAATGGAAGGATTTAATGGAGCGCCCCAGTCATCGTCAAGTGGCATTAAGGTCAATCATTTCAATTGGAACCTTCTTTAAACTGAGCTAAGAAGTTGACATAATTACATAGTTATAGCTTCCATTATTAGAAAGTAATCTAATTGAACTTTAAAATGCATCTCTAATTAAATTGTGATGTTCATTAAGACAACCATATCACAATTCAATTGTGCTTTTAATATTAAGGTAAAATACTAACTTTCTAATTGCAAAACGTTTGCCGAAAATTGGTTTGTAAGATAGACTTTGAATTGACTCCACCGAAGATGGATTTCATCAGTACGATTGACATAATCACAAGTTATGGTTGAAAATAGATTAAATTTGGCCACTTATCATTAATACGACGCAGAATAAAATGGAGACTTCAAATCAAATGAACAGAATCTGTTCCAAGGACACTGAGCTGTTTTTTATGCTATTTTGTTTCCATATTCATAGAAAAGAAATTCATCCCCCCCTCTCAATCACTAGCGAACAAGCCAATCAATGTGATATACTCAATTGCATTCCTTAACAATGCTACCCCTACTTGGTTAGAGCAGCTGAAACATTATTGCTGTGTTAACGGGACATCTTGCAATATTGATGCAGCTACTAAAATACACTAATAGGCCTAAAAAACTAGCACATGCCTATTTTAACAAAAATCAATATTCTTATGTAGGGGGCAGCCCAATTTACCCAACCACTTTTTTCTGCTGTGCTTTTAATGATAAACTTGAAATTATGCGTCAATTAATAAGATAGCTTTAGTTCCAATTCTTCCAATGATTATATTAATTTAGCCGCATCCAAAACATTTTTTAAGCAAAATCATAACGGTAAACAGTGTTGATCTCTTCTAACTTCTTAGTTGTACTTAGTAAAGAAAGGTAGAAGTGAAACAAAGGGACATGACGTATCTCTTTAGTCGGATCTGCTGGTCCGAAAATCTTGAATCTCGCAGATATGAGCTCTCTTCGAAATCTCTATGTGAAATTATGCTAATTAAATAGAGCGCTGAATCAATCGGTCATTGGAAAGTGAATCGTACCTCTTTATGGTGTGAATTTAAACTTAACAAGACTCATGACTTCTTCACTTTCTTATCCACTCCTATCTGGTCAGCCCCCCCCCCCCACACATATACAAGTTTGTTCCTCACTGACTAGTTCATATCTCACTTACGAATTCCAAGAGAAGCTTTTCCGATGGGAGGAAATGGTATGTGCCCAATATGCGCCTACTTAACAAATTGCCAAATGAATGCGAGTATACGCAACATCACCAAAGTCCTTTAATTTTAACCTCTAAGTAGCCAATTGGCAACATTACTTTGGGGGGGGGGGGCATTAAGTGATAAAATGCTAATAAAACTACCTAAGGGCGCGTGAACAAAAGCCAAAGGGTGCGTAATCGAGAAAGCGCTACGCGTGAAATCCTTAAACGCCTAATGCGCCTTTTTCTATCAAAAAAGGCTTCCAATTTTCCCACGAAAGATATGAGCACGTTTTATGACTAAGAACTGAGTGAGTAGTAGGAGTATGCTAATTAAAACCGTGACTCTTCTCACATTTATATGTAAAATGATGTAACATCTGAACTTACTTGGGAAGAAGGCAGAGTTGGTGGCAAGTTCAGGAGGAATTCTAACGAGGTTAGCGTGAGGAGAGGTCACCAATTGACCGTTGTGGGACCACATAACATTGCCTTCTAAACCCTCGCCATCTGGGTTAGGTTGAAGTTGAAGAAAACAGCCTATCACGTTGGAGACGGTAGCTGGGAAGCCCATTTCATGGGCTTCACCATTATGAACCAATCTACCCATCGTAGATTGCTTGGCGTAGGAACCATCGCCTGCAGAATTAAGTTATGACATTTTAAAAATATGAATATTAACTTATTTAAAATGTTAAGGTCATGCTGCTTCCTCCTTCTTTCTCAGTCATTCTAACTAATCAAATTGTCACGTAATACAGAGGATAATTCATCAATTTCAAATTTTGAAATTGAAATAACGAACAAGTCGTTGAGTCAATAGTTTACAAACGAAAGCCAAAGATTAATAAAATATAAGCATTTTAGATGCCGTTCTTGAACAATACTCTCTTTCAACCTTTGGTTTTTTTCCAAAAGATGAAAAACTCTATTTTTTTTGTTGCAGTCATAGTAGTTAGCCATTACACAATTTTGAACAAGGACTTTTTAGGATAGAAGTACTGAGTAATACTGTGATTACAATTCTTGATGCGAATATCCCATGAGCATTAGCTTGGTTAGATTGGCAGGAATAAACTAACCTTTGAAATGAGGAGACCACTATTAATCCTTTAATGCCCAATTAATTTTTTTGCTGGAAAAATTGTATTCACGTGCTTCTCACAGCAGACTGATGCCGCCGACGTGATGAGTTTTGGCGAAAGCTATTGACACGTATTGAACATATTTCAAACGGCCATAGCGCCTTCTTTTACGATTCTAGTACCAATGGAGCTTAACTTGAAAGAGAACAGCACTTTCCAAAGGGCACTAATGGGGTTAATATACAATAGTTCCCATTTTTACTTTAAACAACTTATTAAAAATTGAGACCATACGGTTTTAAGGACATTAAATGGTTGAATGTGCTTAGATGGAAATAGAAAATCTGAGATACCGATGATTACAATAAAAATAGCTAAAATAAGGTTTAGTAAAGTAGAAGCACCTCGTTTTACGAAAAGAATCGATCACACAATGACAAACTGGTTGATGGGCTTAAATGGGAACGCAAAAAACGACCATTTTAACCGGCGATTATAGAACAATGGCAGAATTGCTCTCATTTGCTCAAAAGCTAGAAATTCACCAAAAAACATTAACTTCAGGAAATGCATACTTTCAGAACAAATCCAAAAAGTGCGGCTGATATAAGGTCAAATTTAGAACTGGAAGGAGGCCACATTCCCCGGACCGGAAGTCTTCTAATCCATTACAAATTAAAAATTAATGCTAACCCAGGTAAAGGATCTTCTCTATGTTTTTGTTGGTAGCAAATAAGCAGCTGGCCAATCATAAATTCAAATAAATTCTGTGATCGATTAAGACTACTTAAAGTGACTACTTTATCCCATCGGCAATTTAAGTGCGTTAAGTTAATTACCATTCTCGGCAGCTCCATAGCCATATCCACGCGCATCCATTCCAAGCATTAACGAAGCGTCATTGGTTGACCAACCGATGCGAATGTCACCATCTTCCAGGACACTGATTTCATAGTAGTAATTTCCTGCGCCTTTAATTCCCCTATTTGTACGACTTCCCTGAAATAACACAAAGAAATTACATGATCAAACAGCATAACAGCACGCATAAAGAAGTGGAAAATATTTACTTCCACATCAATAAATGATATTCTGAAAGTTTTAGGATACAAAGAAACATCCTGTCCTCTAGGCCATGTGAGCTAACTCCAGTAGGGTTTATTAAATAGCAGATGTTTCCTGACAAAGTTGTTTAAAGAAGTGAATAAGTAAACAGGGAAAAAATGACAGATTTCTGATCGCAAAGGAAATAAGAATTAAGGGCGATCAGTTGACTTGATTCTATTCTAAGTAGTCGCAAGAAATTTAGATTAATAAGTTTAATAAACGCACTGAAGTGAAAATTTTCACGCTTGAAAACAAGTTTCGCATACAACTTTCAGACCTCTTGCCCTAGAAACTAAGCTATAACTAAATGATCTCTCAAATACGAAGGGATTGACTTTTTTAAAAACTAGAGGACATTGCCACAAATGGATTTGTGAAGAACCCTCAGTGTCAAGACTGAAATCCCCTTGGAGGCATTAAGTTGACAACTCTGTAGCTTTTGCGTCAGTTCTCTTCTGATTTCCGTCATTTAACTTACTTGCCATCCAGCATCCATCATGGTAGCTACATCCGTACCATACAGATCCATACCAAGTCCTTGAGTACAATCAGCCGGTGACATCTGCCAGTGCTGTCGACTGAGTTCTGGTCGGGGCATTCGAGGTGTAACTGGTGGAATCTTTTTTTCTGTTTGCGAATTCCACTCACTTGAAGATTTAGCATTGTAATTCATTGCGGCATTCGCCAAAACCGCGCCTGGGCTGTCTGGAACGCTCTTCAGTGGAGCATACTGGTCTTCCATCAGCATCGAAGACTCATGAGTCCTTACTGAATTCGAACCACCACTTGGCTGATATCCGTTTTTGATACTGTCTGTATCCTCGATACTGGCACAAGGGGCTCTGAACCCGGCTCCTAAGTGCAATTAGAGCGAAAAATGAGCTGAAACAATGCTATGAGATGGAAAATGGCAATCATGAACTTTTAGCGTATCAAGAGTAGGCGTTAGAGAATGAAAGAGTGCAATGGTCCTAGTGAGTGAACAATAAGTCATAATATGAATAAAATGAAATCGTATTAAAACGTTATGCAACCGGAATTTTTGAAGATTCAAATTTAGGTACTCATTTATTTCAAGAAATTTACCTTTTCTGGAGGCGACGGGCGTCATTAGAGTCACGAGAGTTTTGGCTAAAAAACAAAATGATGATAAATAAGGCTACACTATTTTAATCTAAGTAAAAAATACATGACTGCACAAAAAAAGTTGTACCCGGTTAGTGACATCAAATCCATCGCATAACAATTAAGCTCATGCAAGCTGCTTTATATCAAATAAAACGACAATACCTTTTGACCTTTGGAGGGGGGGGGGAGTGAATTGAAGCGGCTAAGAGAACCCCCATCATTAAACAGCCAAACAATGATCTATTGAGAATGTGGGCAAAAGTTTGCTTGTGTGAGTCTATGTGACAAACTTTTGAAACTGGCACTTCCAATCAAATAAAGATTCCTAAATTCAATGAAACAAGACCCTCTGATGATCTAACTTTACTCTCAATAACTTTAAAACACCGGGGTGTGCGATAGACTTACCTCCACGTGGTGCACCCTGGGCAACGTATACTCATACGGTAATAAAGTCTATTATTCGGCAGTCGACTTTTGACTTCAACCTACCATCACCCCACTGTTTGCCGAATTCGACCACTTTAACAGAACTCATCTTACCTTTTCTCTGCATTTGTATCCGTCTGTCTCTTTACATCTGTGAATCACTCTTCTTTCTCCCTCTCAAATTTTTCTCCCTATGAAGCTCCTCTCCTCTGTGAAGCCCGAAGTGAGGTAAAGAGCCAATGATAACTATCGAAACGCCTGCCATTTGAAATATATAATTAAATAAACTTTTAAACTCCTAATTATAATTTTTAGAACGGCCATTCTCCTACCGTGGAAAACGTCAAACTGTCGCTTTTGCACTGTCGTTGACGATCCTATATAGCCCTCCAACAAAAAATTAGATTCTCATTTATCAGACCCTTTCGATTTAAGCTCACCTAACGCTGCCCAATGTTTAGAGAAAGGAGACGGTGGAACTCTTACACATCCGATGAGATCACAGGTTAATGTGAATATCAATTATAAGGCACTTGAAATGTCCAACATCAGAATGAAAGGCATTTCCAATGCTGACGTTGACGTTACCACCTCNACGATTTTGCAATGCATGGACCGACCGATGACTTTCCACATAATGAAGGCATTAAT